ATGTTTAATGTAGCTTTTAAATACTAAAATAATTTGATATTTTGATTTGCCATTATTGTATTGTTGCAAATACAGACTTATCTTGGGGTAGGTCTCGCATTTAGTTTTGTACTTTTATTATAATTTAGTGATGCTAAGTACTATGTATTGATCAATGCAAGACATGGAAGATGTTTTTTTTTTCACTTGAATGTTGAATATTTATATTGAAAAATCTAAAATGTCTTTGATAGAATTACTTATGCAACCCATGTTTTTACATTTGAAGACCGGTTTCTTTCAAATCAATGCAATAAAGTTTGAAAGATTTGAAAATAAAGATCTATTTGTATTTTTAAAGTTGGCATGAAATCAAAATTTATTCTATTTTTTCTTTAATGCATGTTACTTGTCTTCCTACTCCCTTCTCTCTGCTGGCATATGTAAGGCCACACAGCAGTTGAGCCAATCGCAATCAGATGTACAATGCTTACTTTTTAAAATCCAGTCAACACTTGATGGATAAATTACCAACGAAAAGTCCCTTGCTGACTTTGTAAATGGTACTGACCAGACTTTTTAAAAGTTGTTGCAAACAGTGGCCCTCCAGGAACAGGTTTGGACTCCCTTGGTATAGAGGTATTAAGAGGTCGTCACTAACAGAAACAAACATGTCTTAAGTGGATTTCTTGCAGTGTTGCCAAGTCTGCGGTTTTCCCACAGAATTAGGCTACTTTAACATTGTTGCCGCGGGTTAAAGCGATCTACCCCAGAATGCTGTTCTGACCCCTGACAGAGGGCAAAACCACAGAAAAAATGTGATTTGGATAGTTTTGAATAGCAATTGGGAGGGTTTTGTTTTGCTGACCTGGCAACCCTGCCCACCCTGTGTGCATTTTTTAACCTCCCCCATTTGCCATTGGTCGACAAACTGGTAGTTTTCACCATTGGTGAGTCGGGCTGGCAGTGTTGCCAACTGCTTTCAGTTGAAAGTAGCTAAAACTGGTAGCTAAATGTCACTAGATGACATCACAATGGCAAATTCACTGATCTATATAAAGATGAGAACTTAGATAAGGTTTGTCCAAGAAGTTGCTATATTGGTCCCTAAACTTTTGAAAAAAGTCTCAAAAGGGGCGGGGAAGTCGTTAAATCTAGCTACAAAGTAGCTAAATTGGCAACACTGCGGGCTGGGGTGCGTTTCCCAAAAGCAACTATGGTCGCAAGTTCCGTCGTTACCAATAGATTTCAATGGAACTAACTACCATAGTTAGCTAACGATGCTTGTGGGAAATGCACCCCTGGTCGGGATCTTCAAATGGCAGAGTTGTGACAGAGTCACAGCATTAAACTTTTAGGGCAGGGGTTTTCAACTCTGGCCCTCGAGGTCCACTTTCCTGCAGAGTTTAGCTCCAACCTTGATCAAACTCAACTGCCAGTAACTTTCTAGTCCTCACGGACCTTGATTAGCTTGTTCAGGTGTGTTTTTTTTATTAGGGTTGGAGCTAAACTCTGCAGGAAATTGGACCTCGAGGGCCAGAGTTGAGAACCCCTGCTTTAGAGTATTCAACCAATGAATGGCTTGCTTACAGTCATCTGACTAAAGGACATAATTTTTTTTTTGCTTGAGTGTAATTAATGAATGAATGTGTAAAAATTAATTGAGCCATTTTGACAGGAGACAACTTTATATTAGTGACCACTTTATTTTACTTGGCAACTGCAATTTTAAGCATATGTTACAAAGCATGACTTAAATACCCTCCCCAAGATTCATTGATCGCTGTTCACTGAATGAATGTTCACAATTATGGTGTACCGTCACTGTTTGCATTGCTATGGAAATTCTCAGATCAGCTAAAAGCAATGATTTTGAAAACAACATGCCTATCAGCTCTCTCAATGGCGTGCATCCTCCTCATCTTCAAGATCATCCTCCTCATACTCGCCCATTTCGTCAGCGGTGGCGTCTTGGTACTGCTGGTACTCAGAGACCAGGTCATTCATATTGCTTTCTGCCTCTGTGAACTCCATCTCATCCATTCCCTCGCCAGTGTACCAGTGCAGGAAAGCCTTGCGTCTGAACATGGCGGTGAACTGCTCTGAAATCCTGCGGAACAGCTCTTGAATGGCTGTGCTGTTGCCGATGAACGTGGCGGACATTTTGAGGCCACGTGGCGGGATGTCGCAGACTGCCGTCTTGACGTTGTTTGGGATCCATTCCACAAAATAGCTGCTGTTCTTGTTCTGGATGCTCAGCATCTGCTCATCCACCTCCCTCATGGACATACGGCCACGGAAGATGGCTGCCACGGTGAGGTAGCGGCCGTGGCGAGGGTCGCAGGCTGCCATCATATTCTTGGCGTCAAACATCTGCTGCGTTAGCTCAGGAACTGATAGAGCGCGGTATTGCTGGCTACCACGACTTGTCAGGGGTGCAAATCCAGGCATGAAGAAGTGGAGGCGAGGGAAGGGCACCATGTTGACTGCCAGCTTGCGGAGGTCGGCATTAAGTTGACCTGGGAATCGCAGGCAGGTGGTGACTCCGCTCATGGTTGCTGAAACAAGGTGGTTCAGGTCGCCGTAAGTAGGTGTGGTAAGTTTAAGTGTGCGAAAGCAAATGTCGTAGAGTGCTTCGTTGTCGATGCAGAAGGTCTCATCGGTGTTCTCCACCAGTTGATGCACAGAGAGCGTAGCATTGTAGGGCTCCACCACTGTATCTGACACTTTGGGTGAAGGCATGACGCTGAAAGTGTTCATGATGCGGTCGGGGTACTCCTCACGGATCTTGCTGATGAGGAGGGTGCCCATACCAGACCCGGTGCCTCCGCCTAGGGAGTGCGTGAGCTGGGATCATAGGGCTGTGGATATGTTTGCACCAGTTTTGCAATTCGGCAGAAATTCATGTTTATTTATATAGTGCTTTATTGCTTCAAAGCAGCTTAAGTATTGCATACAACAGTGTCAAAAAGTTATTCAGTTTCAGGAATAAGAAATTCAATTAAAATTGCACCATCAACTATAAAGCAGCTCTTCGGTGTGTTCATGTTTTTACTTCTGTCTAACATCGATGGAAGTTTGCACTGACAAGCTGTTTGAACCAACAAAACAAACTCCAAATGAACATCGTTTGGCCGGATTAAGTTCAAAATGATGTTACACCCATTCGTTCTTAGATTTCGATTGAAGTATTTTATCTTGGCCTTAAACCTTTGAAAATATGTTTCATTTATAGTGTGCATAGATGGATGGATTCAATGCATGCACACTACCTAGTGGATCCTTCTATTTGAGCATTCAATCACTAGCACATGCTGTTGTCTGCATACAAGTCGGCATGGACAGAAAAATCGTGCTACATGCAGACGTCGACAAGATGTTTTGTTTTTTTTGCTTATGCATGTGCAATATCTGAATCGAATGCGAGCATGATTTAGGATTGAGACTATGGCAGAGAGGAACTTTTCAGTGAATAAGCAAATTTACCTTTAGCTTTAGATCATGTGGGATATTGCACACAAATTGTATTGGCTGCTTTTACGGTGCTTTTTCATCATCCTTAGAGCTCAGCATCTTCCGACCTTATTTATTTTTCTTTTATAATTGACAAAGGAAAAGATGCACAGTTTGACGTCTACGGTCTGTTGTATGTAGGATTGATAAACATACCAAACACAAAATTATCTGGCCTGAAGATTTGTCCAAATGGGCCAGAGCGGACCGAGTCCATGGTGCCAGGCTCAAGGTCCACCAGGATGGCACGAGGGACAAATTTTTTTCCTGTGAAATAAAATAGGTTTGGTGTAAACATCCAAAGGTTGAAACATGAGTCAGAGTATCATATACATGAATGCATAATTTAATTCCCCCACTACTTTGGGATCATGTCTGTATAGCAACTGCTGACCCTCTTTAAATAAATGCATCATCATCCATCTTCCCTGCCCTGCTCCACCCTTTTGAGAACAGCAGCAGCAACAGATAAACGGTTTTCTCTAGAACCATAAAGACACATCTGGGTGTTCTGAATGATTGTGCTAGTATCCCACAATGTTTAAATAATGCATTCGCATAGGGTTATGATTGATGTTTGTTTAAAACCACAGAAATGCAAGACAAATTTGTCATCTTTTAAGCAAACCGTGGACAAAGAGCTGAAGTCGGGTGAAACTTAAACCAATCTGAAATTGAAAATCTATAATGTAGCCTATAAAACAGAGGCCAGATGGGCCTCGCCTCTGTAATCGTCAATAACAGACAGCTGTGGTCTACAAAACCCATCATCTGCACCCCATGACCTACTAAATGCATACAATATATCTAATCAAAAACTGACTGGCACATCAAAATACTCAATGCAAATACAGATTCACATATTGCTTACCAGATGCCTCATTGTAATAAACATTTATCCTCTCCAGCTGCAGTTCACTGTCTCCTTGATAACTGCCAGTGGGGTCGATCCCGTGTTCATCACTGATCACCTCCCAAAACTGAAATGCACAAAATGTCTCACAAGTGAATGCTGAATACATCATGGCCGTTCACATTTGTTAGGTTATGCAATGATACAGCAGATTGATGTACTGAACCCTGTCCAGAGCCACTGCAGACCTCTACCACACCCTTTCAGAACAGATGCCGCATAAAACACACTTTCTTGCAATTCATAGTGGGGGAAAAAAACGATTCGTAACGACACTTTTCTTTGCATTCTTTCTTTTACAGTAAAACGGCGTGATATCTATATAATCTTACCTTGGCACCAATCTGGTTTCCGCACTGTCCGGCTTGAATATGCACGATCTCCCTCATTGTGCTGCTGTAAGGAAAGGATGCGGCGTGTGTCACTGCTGCTGATGCGACTCTGGCTCTCTGTCTCTGATCGGAGAGCTCTCTCGCCGGCAGCCAATCACGACTCGCGGGTTTGATGCAGTGGACGTGCCGCAGCATCGCGTGTCTTTCCGTCACACCGACGCGGTGACGCTCTGAAAATGCTGACCCTGCGTTCACGTGAAAACGCCATAACACACACACACACACACACACACACACACACACACACACACAATAGTCTATATAATGATTAATCAAAAGCCTAAACATACGGCATTTGATAAAATGTTTAAAGTGAAGAAATTGAATTTTGGTAATATATATATATATATATATATATATATAGTTGATATAGAAAATCACCCCTCTTTAAAATAATCACATTTTGTTGCTTTGCAGCCTGAAACGAAGATGGACACAGTTTTTGTTTTATCCAGCTGTATTTACTCAGTGCAACTTATAACATCCAAGTGAAAGATTTAACACCAACATGCCAAAAAAAAACAAAACGGAGTCACTGAGTTGGAAAAAGGATACTTTAGAACTATTAACCTCCGTTACTAATTCGAGTTGCTTCACTGAAAGCTTATTGTATCACTGTATTAAAAGCTCACCGTATTGAGGCGAGTATTATGAGAGCGAGATGGACTGAGCGAGATACTGCATGCTGCATTTGATACAGCATTCATTCTTCAGCTCAGTCTCATATTCACAATAAAACATTAGTTTGAATGTCCGTATAAAAGTCTTTACTGCTGACTCACTCATAAAAACATTCTCTTGTCGTCATCTAATGGTGGAATAATGTAACTAAAATCACCATCACGAGCGCACACACCGTTTCACAATACTAAATACTATTAAATCATTATTTATATAAAATATTATTTATTGAATAATAATATTTAATAACAACAGCCATCATAAAAAGTTGCTAGGCACTTCAGTCAAAAGTACAAAGGCAGCGCTCTTATATACAGCATTAAAATTACATAAAACGTAATTCGATTTTGCTCTCATCCCAAACTATTTGCTCTGTAACAAATAATAGATTAATGAGACCAAAGATTGCATTAGATTTACCCAAAACAAATTATATCTCATGTTTAACCGCTATAGAGACATCAGAGCCAGAAGATCTGGCCGAGGTGAGGCTGCTCTCGGCGGGTTCATGAGCGCGATCTTTATTATCTGCATATATGAAATCTAAACAACTACATTCTCTCCTAAAAAACTCTTAAAACTAAATTCTGTGACACAAAAAAAAACTGTATTATTTTTTAAATTATAGTGGATTTGGGCGTCCGTCCTTGACTCTCGCTGTGAGAAATACCTCAAGCGGATTAGAGTTCTGTTATCACTAGAATATCGCACCGCTGGAAAAAGCTCTCAGCCAATCAGATTCAAGGACCAGAATGAATTGTACACACACACACACACATTTACACATGCATCAGTAAATCAACATATATCAATAAATATATTTTATTCAATAACGTAATATTACGACACATATGGCTTTATATACATGTGCATTATGTTAAAAAAATGTACATTAAATCCCAAAAAAAATTTTTGACATTCATTCTCTTGCCAGTACTCTTAGTTCTTACATTCTCAGGGAATACCTGTATTAAATTCCCTTTTCAAGTATATGACCATTTTTGAATTGCATTGGCTAGCTAATGTTAATTTTTCTAGACCACTCCAGATCACATCAGACAGGTCAGTTTACTAGCTTTATAAGAGGCCAGTTTGATGTGGTTCAAATACATGTAGTGGTTGATCTGCAAATGTCAAGTGCACCTGTTAAATGGTTCTATTTGAAAATATGGAATGTTGTTCTTATTAGGGTGACTTTTGTGTATGAGTTTGGCATAATGATTCTTGCCCATGGAAGCGCAGTCACACTATAGCTTTCTTATGAGTATTCCTAAGTGTTGAGACTTTGAACTATGGCATATAACCTGTTCAATTAAAGCTGTGTAAAATGAAGGAAAGAACGTTGTTTGTGATCCTATTGACCTAGTGTCAAAAAGTGAGTTGTTAAAGTGTGGTGGAGGAAGACATTTGGTTCTACACAAGAGAGTTTGGCCCAAAACATACCTTCTCTAATCAATCTCGTGTGTTGTTGTTTTGAGTTTTGAATTACAGTTTTGACACATTTCAGATTGCAAGTATGTGTTTCTTTCTCAGCGTTGCTGTAAGAAGCAGTATAGCAGACAGTAAAGTCTTCAGGTGAGTTTTTTTTCTTTTAGATCAACTATGGCAAATCAAAAGCTTGAAAGATCTTGCTGAGAAAGTTTTATATGTTTGAAGCTAATGTGGTTCAATGGCACAAGCACTGAAGATAAAACGATTGCTCTCATAAATCTTGATTATTGAAAGCAACATTAGAAGAACTCATGTTAAGCATGCACTGGCCACGCATTCACGTCACTATTTTTCTGGCCTTATCTTTCTCCACACTTCTTGGTTGGGACATCAGTTTCATTAAACAGCTGAATCCCAATTGGGACTGTGAAAGACCTTTGTATTGCTTCAAACAGTTTGGAAAAATCTCAACGCCAAATCATGTTAACAAAATCACGCTGCAATTGCAAATGGAAAAGTGTAATTTTAAGCGGAGTGATACAAACGGTTAGAGTTCTGTTATCACTAGAATATCGCACCGCTGGAAAAAGCTCTCAGCCAATCAGATTCAAGGACCAGAATGAATTGTACACACACACACACACATTTACACATGCATCAGTAAATCAACATATATCAATAAATATATTTTATTCAATAACGTAATATTACGACACATATGGCTTTATATACATGTGCATTATGTTAAAAAAATGTACATTAAATCCCAAAAAAAATTTTTGACATTCATTCTCTTGCCAGTACTCTTAGTTCTTACATTCTCAGGGAATACCTGTATTAAATTCCCTTTTCAAGTATATGACCATTTTTGAATTGCATTGGCTAGCTAATGTTAATTTTTCTAGACCACTCCAGATCACATCAGACAGGTCAGTTTACTAGCTTTATAAGAGGCCAGTTTGATGTGGTTCAAATACATGTAGTGGTTGATCTGCAAATGTCAAGTGCACCTGTTAAATGGTTCTATTTGAAAATATGGAATGTTGTTCTTATTAGGGTGACTTTTGTGTATGAGTTTGGCATAATGATTCTTGCCCATGGAAGCGCAGTCACACTATAGCTTTCTTATGAGTATTCCTAAGTGTTGAGACTTTGAACTATGGCATATAACCTGTTCAATTAAAGCTGTGTAAAATGAAGGAAAGAACGTTGTTTGTGATCCTATTGACCTAGTGTCAAAAAGTGAGTTGTTAAAGTGTGGTGGAGGAAGACATTTGGTTCTACACAAGAGAGTTTGGCCCAAAACATACCTTCTCTAATCAATCTCGTGTGTTGTTGTTTTGAGTTTTGAATTACAGTTTTGACACATTTCAGATTGCAAGTATGTGTTTCTTTCTCAGCGTTGCTGTAAGAAGCAGTATAGCAGACAGTAAAGTCTTCAGGTGAGTTTTTTTTCTTTTAGATCAACTATGGCAAATCAAAAGCTTGAAAGATCTTGCTGAGAAAGTTTTATATGTTTGAAGCTAATGTGGTTCAATGGCACAAGCACTGAAGATAAAACGATTGCTCTCATAAATCTTGATTATTGAAAGCAACATTAGAAGAACTCATGTTAAGCATGCACTGGCCACGCATTCACGTCACTATTTTTCTGGCCTTATCTTTCTCCACACTTCTTGGTTGGGACATCAGTTTCATTAAACAGCTGAATCCCAATTGGGACTGTGAAAGACCTTTGTATTGCTTCAAACAGTTTGGAAAAATCTCAACGCCAAATCATGTTAACAAAATCACGCTGCAATTGCAAATGGAAAAGTGTAATTTTTCTTTTCAGATTGTTCTTCCGATGTAACATGCTTGAAAATGAATGGCCTGTCATCACTCAGAATGTGTATATCAAATGTAACAACAGAAATACAGTAGCAGAAGTTAAAGGAGGTCACCAGATACAATAGAAGAAGGCCATGATATATTTGAGAAGAAAATGCCCCGTCCTTGGAATAACTAAAAATACAAAAGATCTTATTTAAAATAACAAATAATCAAAAATGAGCGCGATCTTTATTATCTGCATATATGAAATCTAAACAACTACATTCTCTCCTAAAAAACTCTTAAAACTAAATTCTGTGACACAAAAAAAAACTGTATTATTTTTTAAATTATAGTGGATTTGGGCGTCCGTCCTTGACTCTCGCTGTGAGAAATACCTCAAGCGGATTAGAGTTCTGTTATCACTAGAATATCGCACCGCTGGAAAAAGCTCTCAGCCAATCAGATTCAAGGACCAGAATGAATTGTACACACACACACACACATTTACACATGCATCAGTAAATCAACATATATCAATAAATATATTTTATTCAATAACGTAATATTACGACACATATGGCTTTATATACATGTGCATTATGTTAAAAAAATGTACATTAAATCCCAAAAAAAATTTTTGACATTCATTCTCTTGCCAGTACTCTTAGTTCTTACATTCTCAGGGAATACCTGTATTAAATTCCCTTTTCAAGTATATGACCATTTTTGAATTGCATTGGCTAGCTAATGTTAATTTTTCTAGACCACTCCAGATCACATCAGACAGGTCAGTTTACTAGCTTTATAAGAGGCCAGTTTGATGTGGTTCAAATACATGTAGTGGTTGATCTGCAAATGTCAAGTGCACCTGTTAAATGGTTCTATTTGAAAATATGGAATGTTGTTCTTATTAGGGTGACTTTTGTGTATGAGTTTGGCATAATGATTCTTGCCCATGGAAGCGCAGTCACACTATAGCTTTCTTATGAGTATTCCTAAGTGTTGAGACTTTGAACTATGGCATATAACCTGTTCAATTAAAGCTGTGTAAAATGAAGGAAAGAACGTTGTTTGTGATCCTATTGACCTAGTGTCAAAAAGTGAGTTGTTAAAGTGTGGTGGAGGAAGACATTTGGTTCTACACAAGAGAGTTTGGCCCAAAACATACCTTCTCTAATCAATCTCGTGTGTTGTTGTTTTGAGTTTTGAATTACAGTTTTGACACATTTCAGATTGCAAGTATGTGTTTCTTTCTCAGCGTTGCTGTAAGAAGCAGTATAGCAGACAGTAAAGTCTTCAGGTGAGTTTTTTTTCTTTTAGATCAACTATGGCAAATCAAAAGCTTGAAAGATCTTGCTGAGAAAGTTTTATATGTTTGAAGCTAATGTGGTTCAATGGCACAAGCACTGAAGATAAAACGATTGCTCTCATAAATCTTGATTATTGAAAGCAACATTAGAAGAACTCATGTTAAGCATGCACTGGCCACGCATTCACGTCACTATTTTTCTGGCCTTATCTTTCTCCACACTTCTTGGTTGGGACATCAGTTTCATTAAACAGCTGAATCCCAATTGGGACTGTGAAAGACCTTTGTATTGCTTCAAACAGTTTGGAAAAATCTCAACGCCAAATCATGTTAACAAAATCACGCTGCAATTGCAAATGGAAAAGTGTAATTTTTCTTTTCAGATTGTTCTTCCGATGTAACATGCTTGAAAATGAATGGCCTGTCATCACTCAGAATGTGTATATCAAATGTAACAACAGAAATACAGTAGCAGAAGTTAAAGGAGGTCACCAGATACAATAGAAGAAGGCCATGATATATTTGAGAAGAAAATGCCCCGTCCTTGGAATAACTAAAAATACAAAAGATCTTATTTAAAATAACAAATAATCAAAAACCTTTCTACAAATTTTACATACTTCAGGGCAATAATACTTTTTATTGAAGATAAAAAAGAAACTAAATATTAGCTGGAATGATTAAGAATATTCCACACCAAAAAAAAAAAATCTTTGAATGTGAATTTTCCCTCTTAATTGTTTTAGCCAAAATTATGAATAAGCACACTCACCTGATACAATATTTTAGGGGATATTTTAGCAATTCTAAATTAGTATTAAATATTATAATTCTGATTTTTAACTATTTAAAAAAATCTGAAATGTTTTAAAGTCATGGCATGGGTCGCACATTATAAATATATTATTGCTGTGGGTATAAATGTACCACAAATGAAAGATGACAATTGTAGCCATTACTCAAATTATTATTTGTCTTCATTACTTCAACGTCACTCATTTTCATGTTCACATGCTTTTTTTTGATAAAGTGCCACGGACATTGTAACAAAATACCAATGGGCATACACTCATTGACATAGTAGACATAGTAACCTAAAACCTAAAAGTTGAGTTTTTTTGTTTGTTTTTTTAAGCAGTCAGTACCACTGTACATCAGTACCACAGTAGCATCAATTACAAAAGTTTCCACATTCACAATACATCTGTCGCATACACTTGATTGAGTGTATTGTGGTCACTTCAGCCGAAGTATATAATCTGTATTTCTCAAAATTATTTCCCCTCCTCCAGAATCTAGTAATTAACTTCAAAAAACATTAGCTTAATAAAATATACCACATGAATACCATTTTGAGAAGTCTCCATGTAGTGTCTATTTTACACAAACTATTTTAGTTTGGAAATATGCATATGGTTCTTCACTTTTTATTTTGAACACAGAAACCAGTGTTTCTTCGACACCTAATTCATAGAGGTATTTGCCTTCCACTCCAAGACACATTGGCAAACATTCCCAGTGTTAAATATACAGTGTTGGGTTTTAGGGAAATTCCCTTTGTTACTGGACTTCACGGATGCTGTTTTTCCATCTGAATATTGCAAATGTTCATAGACGTAATTACAGTCAAATAATTCATTTTAATTCATTTTCTCTACACATTTGACTAATTTGATCCTGTCTGTTGTTAATTACCATCAAATATCAGATATGAGTAAGCCTAATTACTAGACTATATGAAATTCCAGAGTGACTCAAGTGAGAACTTGTCACTATTGGTCTTCGTTTTTGTAATCACACAATGATAACACATGGAAATTTGGATCTCGCTGCCCAAAAAGCAGTTACTGGCACCACAGTAAGGGGCCGTTCACACAGAACGCGTCTTTGCATCTAAAAACGTGAGACGCAGCACTCAGGAATGGTTATAAAAAAAAAGCACAGCGCAGAATTCCTCCTCCGCCATGTATTCATCAAATAAAACAGATGCCATGCCAACTTGATACCGTTAACAAAAGCTGGCACCGCTTGCCCCGCCTCCGGGGTCTTCTGATTGGTCCACTGTTTTGGAATTGACATTGATGAGTGGCACTGTGTTTAAAAGTTTAAATTCTTTTAGATTGACATGGTGATTTAAAAACATGGTGCTAGGGCTGTCAAAATGGCTGAAAAACTAAATTTGAATTTTGTACTAAAAAATGATCAAAATTCGAATTATATTCGAATTTAAAAGGCGTAAATTTGAGTTAGGGTGAAGAAAAGCTTTTGGCTTCTCTCCTGAGGCCACAAGAGGGCGCATCGAGCAAAATATAATGCACGTTTATTCAAAGTATAAGATAACATGACTATTTGCGAAAATGTTTAAAATAATGTTTATAAACCAATTATAATTAAGTTGCTTAAACAACTATAAACAAAACAAATAAAGTCTCGAGATATGTTTATTCAAAGTTGAACTTACATTAATTTTACATGGCTTTCTAAACATGCGGCTCTCTTGTGCAAGACGCGAGTGCAACGGTGATAGATGTCCCTCTAGAAAATGTGATAAATATGCATTCTGTGTGAATGGCTTGGTTTCAGTTTTGACGTAAACAAGATCTTCTCCGCATTGATCTTCTCTTTTCCCGCAATATTTGTAAGTAACAATGCAGCAGCGACGCATCCAGTGGCTTTAACTAGATATGCTAACAAAAACATTAAAATGCAATGACACTTACATCATCATCGCATCTCGTGCGCCACTTATAAGGCAGCCTCCTTAACGCACACCTAAAATTCAAATGCAAAGTTTTTGCATTCGAATGTGGGTTTTTATTTTAAATTCGACGAATATTCGAAATTCAAAATTTTTTTGACAGCCCTACATGGTGCTCATGTGCGAGATGCTGCACAAAACACGAGAGCAACGGTCATACACGTCCGTCTAGCACGTTTACACAGAAAAACTATGGAAAATAGCACATTGGAAGGGAAAACGTGTTCTGTGTGAACGACCCCTAAGAAGGCTGTTAAAGTAAGGAGAGTAAAAACCCTTTGAGCATCGACCGTTGTAGTTGTTCCCTTTCAGTCAAATCCTTTTATACCTTCTCCTTGCATTGCCATTCTCGGGTCATGGCTGCTGGAAAATAAAAATACTTCTAGCAATGACTGGCATGAGCTCCCATGACAAAAATTGCTTCTTGATAATGAGGCAGCCTACCAAGTCACGTGGCGCGAATGTGTCCGTCATGAAGACGTCTCCCCATTGGCAGTATTGGTTTCTGTGATGGGCAAGTCAATGTCTGTAGGTGTACCTGAGTCAATAGGCGAGGAAACAGTCAAGTTCGTCATAAGCGGGTGGCTGGATTCTGTAACAGAGTCAGTGGTTGTGGCATGAGGTGCAGTCGAACTCACAGTAGCAAGAAGAGTAGTACCATTACTTAAGGTTGGCTCCAATACGGCTGGTGAAGGAGGGCCAGATTCTATGGAGTTAATCGCAGGTTGGGCGACTAAATGTAACAATGGAGCGCCGGGATCTATGGGTGAAGAAAAGGATTGAACTGGGATGGCATTAACTTGACCAGACTGGTCCGGTATTGGTGGTAAAGACAGTTCTGTTGGGGAACAGGTGACTAGGTGAACAGGAGAGTCTATTGAGGAAGAGGGAGGAATGTCATTTAAAGGCGGAGTGGGTGATTGTCCGGTGGATGGATCAGACAAGTTGATTGTGCAGAGAGGAAAGGTTGGGACAGGACCTGTAGAACCCACTTCAGTTAGGATGTTGATATCGTTAGCAACCGGCAAGGGGAATTCAGCTGGTGTAACTATATCTAAAAGCGAAGGAGTTTGGAGATCGGAAGAAGTAGAGGACTCGAGGGTAGGATCAGTGATCGAAGGAGTTTCCACAGTTGAAGAAGGCAGAAGGGCCGGAGATTCTGTTTTAGGTGTCTGAATATAATTAATAGCGATTGGGGTAGAAGTGTTTGGGATAGAGGCAAGGAGAGGATCCTCTACGGATGAGGCAAAGGTTTCCGGCATGGATGCAGATTGCTTGATTTCATATTGCTCTTGGGCAGAAGTCAATGTCTTCATAATGAATAGCTCTGCCTGGCCGGGGGCATCAATGAGCATCTGAAGATCGATGGCGGATGAGGCAGTAGAGTCCATAGTGGAAACAGCAGTGACAGCTGCTTCGTGGAGAGGCGTGTCGCCAACCCTTGGATACTCGCGGCTCTCGGACTTGGTCAGCAGAAGCCGTTGCTCGCCCGGTTTGCGAGGTGGCAGTAACGGTTGGCGGGTGTAACTTTCACCGTCCGCTAACGTTTCTGGTAGCGGTTGATTGCGAGTCTCTGGCAGCAGCAAGATACAAATGATGCAGATAAGTGTGCAGCAGGCGAAAATGATGTGATGCAGAAAATAGCCTTTCTGGTTATGCAGGACTCCGTAGAAAGGACAATCATTGCAAGCAGGGAGACAGACCACAGCTGCCCTATTGAAACATCCCGTGGGGTCAGGATAATTTAAACAACTACAGCAGATATGTGAAACAGAAGGATGAAAGAATCCTCCTAAAATGAAACGCTAAGATCAAAGGTTCATAGGCATCTTTTGCCAACAAAAACCAATAAAAAATAGCTTACAGCAGGCATGTAAAACACAGAAAAAGCATCTTCAATCTGCTGTTCACACACATACTCTCTCACACACATAAATACACACACACACACACACACACACACACACACTCTCACACACACAAATACACACACACACACACACACACACACACACACACACACACACACTCTCTCTCACACTCTCTCACACACTCACACACACACTCACACACACACTGTTTTGAGAGCACCACAGTGTTTTACACTTTTTAATGAAACCTGTAATTGTCTTATTTTTAGTTTCTTCTGCATATAAAACTAGCATAGGTGATATTTTAACATTGAAAGAATTGCACAAAAAATAGATGATGAACATGAAACAGAGCAATAATGAAAAATTTGCATAAATAGCATAGTGTTTATACTTTACCAATATTTATAATGTCGCCATACTTCCCCACCACTTCATTCATCATGGACGGATCACATAAAGGGGGAAAAAAAAAGAGAAAGTAAAGTAGTTTGCAGCTCGTGGCTAGTAATTAAATATATGCATGTGTGCTTATAAAATGTAAACTCAGTATGCTTCAAATGATCAGGGATGAAATCCAATGAAGCCCTTTCATTAATTTGTTTTGATCATCAATCTAAGTATTTAAATATCATCTTACTAAGACTTTATTGGAGATACAGAGTGACTACTGACGACGATATTTATTTTACTAATCATTTTATGTAAGTAGTCTGTTATACTGATATAAAGATCTCATTGATTTATGTTACAAGCATCAGAATTCCATCTTACTATTTAGTCATGAAAATATCAGCATCTGCACCAAATCGCACATTTTTGCTGAGTTTGGGCCTCTGAATAATAGGTTTATGTTGTTTTTCCTCCTTGAGTTTGAGCTCCATATTCTCCTATATCATACTATCCTGTATGAGCCAGTCTGATGTATTGAATATGATACGAAACAAAAATTTATTTTTAGACTGTATCTAAAGGTTAAATAAACTTTTTTTTTACGGAACAATTATTTCATATGTTAGGCTTTACAGGGTTAAGATGCATACTGCATATAATTTCTCCAAACCTTTCTGTTCCTTGTCTTTTCCATGCATATGCACACTTTTTAAAAAACCTATAAGAATGAAGCATATACAGTGTGTTTATGTGGCCACATGAGCCGCCTTCTCCAGCAGAAACTCAGTTGTGTTAAAGAGCTTAATCACTTAAATGGTGTGACAGTGATTCTGTTTGATTCGGTTCAAGCCCCCACAGAGGGTCCAGTGCTAGCGGTGTGTGTTTGTGATTTGTGTGTTCTCTCACAGTTTAGCAGGCCGAGCTGAAGGAGAGACGCCAGGGCTGTGATGATCATAAACATGAGGAGTCCCCCACGCCGGCCCATCATGCCCACGGCAGGGCAAAGCGCCACGCATGATGCCACAGCAATGCCCCCCATGGAGTAGTATTTGGCATAGAAATTAGAGAACATGGGCTGGTCTTCCTTCTCCATCAGGCTGCGTGCAAAGCAGTGGTGTATGCCGTAACCCGTCAGTCTGAAAGATGGAGACAAAAAGAGGTTTTTGAATGCCAGAGCTAAAGGGATAGTTCACCCTAAAATTAAAATTATGCCTTCATTTACTCACCCTCAAGCATTTCCAAACCCAAAAGACTACATTTTCAAAACACAAATAAAGAATTAACCCTCATAATGCATTCCAGATCTGTACACTACTTTTTGCATTCTGAATCAATGCAGAGCCCCGATCTAAACCAAAATCCTTGGCGACAAAGTTATGGATAAGAAACTCACCGAACTATGGAAGAAGAAGAAGAGTGGACCAAGATCACACCAGCGCAGTGTGAGAAACTAGAGATGCTGAAGTCATTCAAAGCAGCAGCTTCTACACTTCCTACTCCTTTCTGACAGCTGTAACCCTCATTTCTTTCTGTATATCGTTACGGTATAAAGTGTCTACAGCTACAAATTCTGCTATATTGTTTATTTCGCAGTATGCAAATATATCCACGTAGTACTACTTAAAATTTATATACACCTGACATAATGTGATAAAGAATCATACATGAATGTGAAAATAAAGAGTGGGACACTTTTAGATGTTAAATAGAGTTATTAAGCGCAGTATGCAGTGAAGAACTCAATGCAGTGCTCGTGGTAACCGTCAGACACATACCCAAAGCAGCATGCGATCGCGAATTTGGGACGTGCACAATAGAGTTATTAAGCACAATAAGCAGTGAAAAAGAACTCTGAGATACACGTGAGGAGCGAGCACAGACAGTGTCTCTCTCAGATAGCAGTCAAATACACACATAATTGTCAAAATTCCCGTCGCTTGGAGTATTCACATAAACACAGTATACTAAAACAACATATAAAGACCGGATATGTTTTAGTATATTGGATCCGTGCAGTCAGTCTTAAAGGGACAGCGGCCTAATTTACCTGCTGCTTTCTGTGTCATTAATGTTATTAAAACAATAAAAGACAAAGAGAAAATCACTCACTGATCTTGACTGAATCACTTTTGAATCTTTAAATAAATCAGTGGTACCCAACTTAGCAAAAAATGCACTTATTCTTCTTAAGATTGGTTGTATTACGGCTGCCGGAATGATTTTACGCAACTGGAAATGTCCCAGAACACCAGAATTGAAAGACTGGATTAATGGGATTATTGAAATTGCTTCATATGAGTGTGTGTTGGGGAGTCTGAAATGCAAAGAACGTGGGATCATTTCTGGCAACATATAAAATAACATATAAAGACCGGATATGTTTTAGTATATTGGATCCGTGCAGTCAGTCTTAAAGGGACAGCGGACAGTCTTAAATTTACCTGCTGCTTTCTGTGTCATTAATGTTATTAAAACAATAAAAGACAAAGAGAAAATCACTCACTGATCTTGACTGAATCACTTTTGAATCTTTAAATAAATCAGTGGTACCCAACTTAGCAAAAAATGCACTTATTCTTCTTAAGATTGGTTGTATTACGGCTGCCGGAATGATTTTACGCAACTGGAAATGTCCCAGAACACCAGAATTGAAAGACTGGATTAATGGGATTATTGAAATTGCTTCATATGAGTGTGTGTTGGGGAGTCTGAAATGCAAAGAACGTGGGATAATTTCTGGCAACATATAAAAATGGGATAGATGAGCAGGACTGTGTGACAACCGTCTAAATTTCCATGTATTTTTCTGTTGTTTATTTCTCACTGATGATGACAAGTGGCTAAATATGTAACTGTTAAGGCGACTATGGAATACTGTGACGATGTACAGTGCGATATGAGCTTTTTGACTGTTGAACAATAAAAAAAAAGTTGAATTATAAAAAAAAGAATCAATTCATATTTGATTGATACAGTGAAGACTATGCAGTGTTTTAGTTATACACTTCAATTTCTGTAGTATTTCTTACTACATGTTAAAAAACCTACTGAAGACGAAAAACTCAAGCTTATTTAATTTGTATTTTTGTTCTATTGTGTTTGTAATTTGCTTCTTTATTCCTGTTTTTAACAAATATAAAATTAAAAAAGCTATGTTGAGATATATATCGTGAAATTTTGATTACATCGCCCATCCCTAACATGAACCACAACCAAAAAAAAAAGATACAATAGCAAATGTTTTCTTTTTACACTAGATAATTTTACAGAAAGAAAAATTTAGTTTTTTAAAAGTATTTGACACCTAATATTACTCCATACATACTCAGGTCCAAAATGACCCAAACACGAAACAGCTTTTTTTTTTTAAATGATAAAAAAAAAAAAAAGTACAAAATCTGAAAAAATAAACAATGTGTATTTAGAGGATCTGAGTATATGCAAAGTTTCTTTCCCTTATGAAAAGCTATGCATTTTTTTTTCTTTAGATATTTTGTGTCTCTTTCGTCCGGTTAAAAACGGACCCGAATGCGTTAAGAGGGTTAATGAAACCTAAGAGGTTTCTATCCCTCCATTGAACGTCCAGGAAACATAAACTTACAAGATCCTACAAGTTATTAAAGCTGTTTATCTTAAAAAAGCCTTTAATTCATTAGCTCATAAGGAATCATTTTACGATGCCTTTATGAACTTTTTAGGATTTTCGAAAAAAAAAATTTTTTTAAATGAGTGCGAGTAAATGGCAGAATTTACATTTTTGGGTGAACTACCCCTTTAATATCAGCAGAATGTTTTTAATAATTAATAAACACCCACATTCACGACTGTCACACAGATGCATAATATAAAGATATTTACGAGTTGACGCAGAGCACTACTAAATTCTTCCACAGGTTCCTTGTGCCAACCATCTTCACAATGCATGTCTTCTTGGGTTGCTTTGGCAGGGCTTGGTTCAGCTCTGAAATCAGTGCAGAAAACAAAGTGCTTAATCAAACATTTCAGAGAAAACATGAGGTTTATGTACGGTGGCCGAGAAGTGCTAAACAAATCACAATTCTGAAAACAAAATAACAAATTACAAATGCGAGTCTAAAAAACAAAATAAGTCAGAAAACACAATGACAAATCCGAAAGCAAATTAACAAGTCAGAAAACACAACGACAAATCAGACAAACTGGAAGAGGTAGGTATAGTTTGAGACGGCGCCATTGGTTTGCGATTGCTCACCGCTGACTGGACGAGACATCTGTCAATCACCGTATACAGAGAAGAACCAGCCGAAGAACAGCAGAGTCGTGGTAGAAAGTTCAGAGATGCTATTAAAGTAGCTCAGTTTAAATGTATTGTATGAATTGCCCTTACTATGGAATATACACTTAGTTAAAAATGGCTGCGAAACATCAGCTCCAGTGGCGCAGATGGATAAGCGCGTGTCGTTGGCTTTTTGACGCGATCGACCCGGGTTCGATCCCGCCTTTTGCCAAACTTTTTTCTCTCCCTTTTCAAATCTCGTATCACATCGTAAAGGCATTTATTTTCAATAAAAATTAAGGAAATAATCAAAAAGTTGAAAATAAAGTATCGGTTAGGGTAGGTGTAGGGAGGGCTTTATTGTACCAATAAGGTGGCATCCATTTAATAATTAAAATTTAAATTTACACTCAATACGTTATTATTGCATACTGTTTTATAATGTACTACAATACTGAAGTGCAGATAATTGCCACTATTTGCAACAAGTAGTATACTTGATAGTAGAAATCCTGCTATTTTAACAGTGTAAATAGGTATTTGCACTTTAGTGTAAATAGCATATTGTTAAAATACTGCTATTTCCACTTAGTGTAAATAGAATCCATTGCTAATACGAGATTTGAAAAGGGAGGGAAAAAAAGTTCGGCACTTTCGAACCCGGGTCGATCGTGTCAAAAAGCCAACAACACGCGCTTATCTATCTGCGCCACTGGAGCTGATGTTTTACAGCCACTTTTAACTAAGTGTAAACAGATACTCCGTATTTTTTATTCCATAGGAAGGGCAATTCATACAATACATTTAAACTGAGCTACTTTAATAGCATCTCTGAACTTTCTACCAGGACTCTGCTGTTCTTCGGCTGGTTCTTCTCTGTATACGGTGATTGACAGATGTCTCGTCCAGTCAGCGGTGAGTAATCCCAAACCAATGGCGCTGTCTCAAACTATACCTACCTCTTCCGGTTTGTCTGATTTGTCGTTGTGTTTTCTGACTTGTTATAATGTTTTCTGAATTGTTGTTGTGTTTTCTGAATTGTTATTTTGTTTTTTAGACTTGCATTTGCGTTTGTAATTTGTTATTTTGTTTTCAGAATTGTGATTTGTTTTGCACTTCTCGACCACCGTATTTATGGGATAACAAATGGGATTACATTGCCTTCAATCATTTTGACAAGAAGTCGGTTTTCTTCACATTCAAATGCCACATTCTTGAAGAGAAAGAATTTTGTATATAAATTGCAGCTGTGCATAATACATCATATCATGAACAACGATCACCAATTGATTCTTATGGTTTGAACGATCACCAATCACCGTGTGCTCTAATGTCTTCAAGTAGACATGAAAAGGAAGTTTACTATAACCGACTTTACTACCATATTATGTCGAACAAGAAAAAATTGTTGCTTATAGGACTTTGAAAAGTAAGCACTGCATAATGTAATGTATGCAGATAAGAAAGAAACTTGGATGCAGCAGTCTGACAAACACCAGCAGATCGAAGGAATATCTCAGGAAGATCATGACGTTTTGATCAAAGATACTGAGGTCATATTATTTAAAATATGCATGAATTTAATTGCATACAAATAGGACCACTAACATGCATTAAGTAAATTTTGATTTTACGCTGCCTTTAGCTGCTGTTGGTTGTCACCGCATGTCACTAATTTTTACCTGAAGTTAAATGATGCACTTATTTAACAAAATAAAAAAAAGAAAGTGTTTTAAAGTGTTAAACATTGGGACAATTAATGCATTCAATGGTTGCAGCTTTCACGTGCTAGATGACAAAAAAAAGGTTTCGCCTTTGTAGGGCACTTTGCTCCTGAAATGTTTACACTGCCAGCAGCCAGCAGCCAGCAGCCACGAACACAACTAACTGTTGACTTTAGATTGTGCACGCTCCGTCTGACGGTGACTCAGGTCTAGTAAATGGAGGATACAGGATAGACGTCTGGTTAGCAAAACCGGTTTTGTGTTCCACAGAAGAAAGCCATACCAGTGTTGAACAACATGAGGAAGAATATAAATAATGGTGAATTAGTTAGACATTTAAATGCATTATGAAAAATAGGGAACAGGCCTACATGTGAACTGAGTCATCGCAAAATTATTTAGTAAATTAAATATGAGCTGAATGACGCCGCACTTTGTTGGCCATAGAATCTGAAGTGGTATAGGTTTGTATTTTGAAGACGTCAAAAACGAGTTTGCATCGCAGTATCTAAACCTAGAAAGAATCCTACATTGAGTGATTGATTTTTATGGGAGGATGGTTGCGATTGTTTTCTCTGGATCGCAATTTGTTTTTAGCAATTTTCAGATTTTGTTCTGATGTTGTGCAGCATGCATTTTTCCAATTTAGATCTCATCTTAAACAGATGGTTATTATATTAAAGCTATAAGCTGTTGGGATCACTAGTTCTAAACTTTTCACATTATAAACCTTATAAAAGTCCAGCGTTTGTTTTCTCTTTGGTTGTGTACCTCTCATGAGCTCCTCTGCGTCCTCCTCTAGATTGATGTTGTTCTTTTTCGCGACGCGCTCCATGATCCATTTGGAGCGACTGTACTGCTGCGTCGCAAGCAGCCAGCGCAGAGACTCCGGAAAAATCCTGATGAATGAAAACGGATATACTTTGCCACATCTATTTTGGGCTAAACACTTAAAACAGAGCATTATCATTGCACGTTAGCTGCTGAATAAAGAACTAAAAACACTGAAACAAAGCAACTGTTACAAAATTGATCACAAATAACAAAGTAAACATTCACTGATGTGGTGAGAAATGTATCATCCCTACTACTAGCAGTAGTTTTTTTCAAGTCTCATATGGTGACAAAATCCTTCTACTATCACAATATCCCAATTCATTTTGTTATGTAAATGAAAATGTTCTAAACATAAGGAAATTGTTATATACAAATGTTGCATACTGTACATTTAAATTAATTGTTCATTCACTGATTTTTTTAAAGGCCATGTCAACAGCAAGGCTATCTTCACGGCAAAAACAAAGCGAAACAACAAGTTGCAAACAACTATATTAAAAAATGCAAGACATAAAATACATAAACGCCACCAAGTAAAAACAACTCGATCATTAATAGATGTGAAAGAACTAAAAAACCTTCTTCTTATACTATGATTATTTCATATAGCATATCGTCACGGCATTCATCTGATTCCATCTACCACTTGTTAGTTAAATAAAAGTTCATTTGTATACTGACATGAGAAGAGAATGAGAAGTCTCCAGCCATATTAGAGGTTTTATAAAGCGCTTTTATTTTACACAAAGTGGGTCACCAGTTGAATTACTTCCATTGTTACGGTAACCTACTATTTTTCTCATAAAATATATTAATCATGCTTGATGGTAAACAGTGCATTTTTACAATGGCATCAGTACCTGAAAACGTTTGCTTTTGTGTGAAAAAAACAGTAAATGTATGATTATTTGAAGTATTCTCTTTTTGGACATTTTACATTTTACGTTTATCTAAAATGCAAAGCCCATTTTTAGCAGTCGTTACGCCAAACTACTATAAAAACATATTTGGTATGTGCTTATTTGGTTCGTAAGCAACTTTCTGCATTATCCGCACAGCTGAAAATGATTATGCCGCTTAATAAAGAAGAGTGGAAACAGTAGTGCAATGCCTATTTCAGCAGCTGAAGTCTGTTACTGTAAACTCACCATGACTGTAAACAGGTCAAATTTTGGTTTTAAGAACAGTCAAACACAATCTTATTTTTGAACAGCCATGGCACGGTTGCTTACCAGATATAGGACAGCATGAGTAAGAGAGGGCAGATTACGACTACTTGCAGAATCTGCCAGTCGCGACAGAGGACTGCCAGTCCTGGCATGAGCAGCTGCCCCGCCAACACCATGAAGTTTGCCACCATGGTCATGGAGAAACGCCATCCCGGCAGACACAGCTCTATCCCTGCAGACAAGAACACACATCCGACATTAGAGTCAGTTAATAGAGAGGTCTTAATAACTGCAACATTTCTAAAGAGAAGGGGTGTTGGGAATTTGCTTTTGAGCTTTTGTAAAATGTAAAAATGCAATAGTGATATGATAAAAGACGACTGTTCAGAAAGTTCAGTAAATATTTGCATTTATCAAATGTTATTATTGTTAGCAATTATCACCATTATTCTTCTCCAAATAGTATACTTCATTACTTAAAATTGCAGGCTGTTTGCGGTTGCAAAGCAAAGCAGCAACTTACTGTATTAAACTCGGTGTGTGTGTGAGTTTAATGACTTAAAGGGATAGTTCACCCAAAAATTGAAAACTGTCATCATTTACTTGTTCTAAACATGTATGAGCTTCTTTCTTCTGTTGAACAGTTGATGGTAGCCATTGACTTTCATTGTATTGGGGGAAATAAAATACATTGGAAGTCAATGGCAGCCAGCAACTGTTGGTTACTGATATTGTTCAAAATATCTTCTTTTGTGTTTAGAAGAACAAAGAAAGGTATGCAACAAGTCAATTATGACAGAATAGTCCTTTTTGGGTCAACTCTGCCTTTAAGGCACATTGCAAATGCCATATTTCACCATAACATGACACTATTTAAGCTTTTAAAGAAAGTTTGAGTCATATTAGCTGCGTTTCCTTTCAAATTTGCACATTTAACTTGTGAGGAATTTTAGAAAAGCATATAAAACATGTCCAAATAAAGCAAATAGTACATGGATGGAAACATAAAGCCATTGATTTTTCTGTAAAAGGCCCAAAACTGCTCGTATAATGTCATACAGACACTGTATCAGAGATTTTTCTTCACTTATGGGACTTTAAAATGACTATGCAATCAATGCATGTCATCTGTCTGCAGTCAAAGGGACAGTTCACCCAAAAATGAAAATCCTGTCATCATTTACTCACCCTCACGTTATTCCAAACCTGTATGAGTTTCTTTTTTCTGCTGAACACAAAAGATGATATCTTGAAGAATATGGGTAATCAAACAGTTGATGGTCCCCAAACATATTATGGGGACCGTCAACTTTTTTTTCTTTTTCATAATATCTTCTATTGTGTTCAACAGAAGAAATAAACTCATACAGGTTTGAAACAACTTGAGGGCGAGTAAATGATGACAGGATTTACATTTTTGGGTGAACTATCCCTTTAATTGAATGATTCATTAGTATTCATAATGCAGAAGCGCACGGCAGACAGCACAGGTGGTCTTCAATGACAGACCAGTACTGCAATATCAAACGATGGCAAAACCACAGAAACTACAGCAGGGTCTGACATGTGTGAACGGTTTGGGAGAGAGCTTTTCGAGGTGACAGGACTCCCGGCGGGAACACAGCGACTGCACGATCCTTCACAAAAGCCTAGAATTTCAATGAGCAGCACTTCTGAATCCTGCTCTGTGTTGAAAGACGGAGCTCAGGCTGAAATCACACAGGCTCTGTTTCTCAGCTAGATGATGAAGAGCAGGGGCTGTGCATCCAAAAGCTGTTTTGTAAACGTGGTCACTTCACTTAGGAAATAGAACTTTTTCAAATTTTAAGTCAAGAATTAAGATAGGATGTTCCAGGAATATAAATGTAAACATTCACACTTGAACATTAAACATAAACAGACTCTTGGGTCACGCTTAATGTCAGAATGTAACTGCATTCGATACAAAATATCAAACCAGTTGTTATATATTTTAAAGAAAGTTAAAAGAAACGTTAAAGCACAGCCACATTTTTTTTTTTCAAACCAAACATTTCACAAAATGTTTTTTTCTTTAAAGTTTGAAAAGCAAAAGCGAAATGTTATGCGATATCACAACAGTATAACTATTCATTATTTTAGAAATATGAACTTGAATCATAGAAACGTGAAAAACTGTTGCATTGAATGTCACACAAAAAGCATTTTAGATTAACTTGCTTAAAATATCTGAAATACGAATTGAATTATTTTTGTTATTTGTATGTTTTTGCCACTTTTAGTAGTTTTCTCATGCCTTTTTAATTAATTTTAGTTTTAGTTATTTTAGCACATCAAGTTAAACAAAATTAAAATGAGAAGTGTTGCCTTGGCAACTACCTGAAAGAATAAAGTTATATAGTTAAATATATATATTTCAATGAACATTTATTTGTTTGGTCGGTTGGTTTTAGTTTAACGTATCTAATCAAACTGCTTTCCTGGGTTACACACTAGAGAAAACTGAAGGATATTAATATACGGAACCCTTTAGGGTCACGTAGGTGAAAATATAGACAGTATAAGACACTGTAAACAAATAGCCTTTTTACTACAAATAAAAATGAATTCAAGCCTATTTACAGAGCTCAAGCTCTGATTTCTAAGTGAACAGATTGTGTTTAAGCAAAATACAAGAGCTGTTCTTTTTGAATAGTTTGTGTAATAAAGAGAACTGTGCTTAGTGTTTTGCAAATAGTTGGTTTTGCTTTTGCAGGCCGAGTGTTAATCAGATAATGTGCTTGTGGTTTTGCAGACTCGGTGAGAGGATTTGGTAGATGAGTTAATGGTTTCACTGAGTGAGCCTCAAGTACCACTTTCAGTGTGTCACCGACTGCACAAAAACTGTAATAATCATCATTTTTATTCTCAGTGAGGGACTTCAATAACATTTCATGAAAATAAAATAAAGGTTTATGGAAGGTCTGACTCTGTTAAGCGGATGGCTTAATGTAATCTACAAAGGATGAACACGAAAAAGAAAACCAATGAAATAAATAAAAAATCGCTTGTAAAACACAATTAATGCCACATTGCATGTTTGTGTGACAGAATAAATGGCAGGTTTGTGCATCTATGGAAGTGGCCAGTTTAACGTCTATCTATAAACATGTTAAAGTGTGACCACAAATGGTGTTTTACTGAGAGTGAAGGAAGCTGACCGGTGAAACACCACTCTTGGAAATGAGTAAATGTGTATGCCATGAGTTTTTCACTGATGTGGGAAAAGTAATACTTCTCACTGCCAAGTTCTTTTGAATAAAAGTGTCTGCTGAATTATTAAATGTGTAACCAATAAAGCTCAATAAAATATCAGAAATAAAAATCAGTATCCAGTGCATATTAGATATGGAATCAATGAATCAGTGGGCAGAGTTTTATAAACTGACAGAATGAGTACTGTGTGCAAAATCATTTTTAAATATTAAAACATTTTAGAAAACGGTTATTTCAAATTGTAATGATATTTCACAATATTACTGTTTTACTGTATTATTGATCAAATAAATGCAGCGTTGGTGAGCATAACTTCAGCTAGACTTCACTAAAATCATAATGTTTGCAAACTTTGACAAGTACTGCAAGTCAGCATCTCAACTGAAACTCCTAAATGAACCGCTTTTCTCTTGCTTTTGGAAAACCTCTACGCCTATTATCACTTATAATGCTGCCTATGAAGGCAGCTTACTAGGTTTTGGAACAAAGCCAGAGAGAGTGTGAGAACCTAGAGCTTCTTAACCCATCTGATCCAAATCTCCAACGTTCCCACAGCTCAGCAGCTCCACACACACACACACACACATGCACGCACGCACGAACGCACGCACACACACACGCACGCACACACACACACACACACACACACAGCACACAAACACGCACACACACACACACACAGCACACAAACACACACACACACACTTAACTAGCTAAATGAGGACATACAATTGATTTCTATTGTTTTAATAAAGCTAATGACTACAAATAACTCTAATCCAAACCATCATGATATATAAAGAGTTATCTATTATTGAACTTGATGGAGTCTGTGGCTGAAAATCCTAATGATAGTCCACCAGAAGAGGGCGCCGTGAGGGATCAGGGTTGTAGGCTTGTTTGTCTGTTTGAGCCTGAGGCTGACATTATGACCTTCCCCTGTCACATGAGTCACTCATGGCTTCCTGACATTAGGTCACATATTCAAATGCATTCCATGCCAGGACTGCTCCATTTGTGTGTCATGGAATGACATGAGGGTTACTAATTTTTTTTTATTTGATCAAAGTCAAACAGTAAAGAATAACACTAGTAATGCTGTGGCCATGAGTCTGATTCCCAGGGAATGCATGAACTGATAAGTGAAGCTGTTGGCATCTGTAAGTAGATTTATAGCGTTTGAACAGTGTTTTGTAACAGGAGAAAAACCACAGTGAAGTGCAGGTGGTGTTAGATGTGGTGGTCTGGGTCAAAGGTCACAGATAAAAGGAAAGACCTGTGAAGAAGCTCTAAAGAACACAATCTCAGCACAACCACTGAACTTTACTCCAGTCAGCGCACAAAACACTGACGGCACATCTTCTCTGATTACTAAAGAGCTAAAGATTTCAAAGCAAGAATGAAAGAAACCGAAACAGTAAGAATAAATTACATTACGGCCCCAAATGATGTCCGGTTCGCAAACGAATCATTCTTTTGAACTGATTCTTTTTGGTGAACTTGTAGAAACAGACTGGACTGAACCATCTGAAACGGTTCGAGCAGCACAGATCTACAAGTTACTCAATCAAAGCTCAGTTTCAGACACCTGACAGTCACTGCGACTCGAAATGAGGCAAAATAGTGGCATATCTGATCTTATGATGAATGAACTGATTCAGCGTTCCAGTTCCTCCAACAGTCACTGAACTGAGGAAACGGTTCAACTCAGACCGATGAGCCGCTGATCTGCGCATGTGTGAACCGAACACTTGAATGAAGGGGCCAAATTAATGTTTTTATGGTTTCTCATGGTTTGTGTAAATGAAGACTAGTTTGTTCACTTTATATGCTTTAGACAGGTAAAACATCTATGTTTGTCATCATTAAGTGCTTTAATAATATAATTGTGCATACGTTACATCATCATTGTGTGATTACTTAAACTGGTGATTCGCTTATTTGAACCAATTCATTGAAAGAACCAGTTCATGGAAGATAATTGGATTTTCCCGTTTA